TAAGTAAAAATGTTTCCCTAATTGCAAAAATTAACAAAGTCTTTTTAATAGCCAGTGTCTTACACACATGGTAAGAGTAATAAAAGAAGTTATTTTTTCACTGAGTAATTTATTATATGTTCATGATAAATAAAATCACATTTGTTAAATGGGACAAACCTCTAGCTCAGAATAACTCTTCTGTAGGGTTATCTCCTACAAAATGCTAGTGGCATTTGCCTGATTGAAATATAGAAAATTAAAATGATTGCAAAAATATTATTAGAAATATTAATATTTCAGGACATGTAAACATTTGTATGGTCTTTTTTCAAAAATTTATGTAATCTTTTCCACATTAAACATGTGAACTTCATTTGGGAAAAATCGTGATTTGAATTAGGAATGTCTCAGAAAATGGGATATGCACATTTGATCTTAGTAACTTGAATTAATCCTAAATCTCAAAACATGTATATGTATGTCTAGAATACAGAAATCTGTTAATAGTGTCTCAAAGTTCCATCCCATTTGGTCATGGGATCGGAGACAATTATCCCGGAATAGCATATCTGTGAGCATTCTCATTGCTTCTCATTGGAAAGACCATCATCACCCTAGGGTCACAATGAAGTTCATTTAATCAAAGCTATGGCACTAACAATAGTCATCTCGTGTCAGTTCTGTCTCTTGAGACTCACAGAGCAGTAACCTAGAGTTACATAAATGACTTTACCAAACATCTCTTGCTGTTTTATAACAAAGGTGTATTTAAAGTAAGCCAGTTATTTCTTTTTGGATTATTTTTCATTTATTAAAGTGTTTCTTTGTCCCTGATACATTTCTTATGGTACCTATTGTTGTAAATCATTGCTGTGCCATCTGTAACATTATGATTACAGCCTTAAGCCCATGGGGCTGGAGAAGAGATGGCAATAATGGCAATGGGTAACCAAATCAATGGATAATTCAAACATTATTTACACTTGACTTTTAAATTATTCTCAAAGGTGGAGTAGCAACTTTTTTTTCTAATAACATTTGTTTAAGATACAAAAAATATGTTCTACTCAAGCAAAGTTCCACAGGTATTTATAGATTTTATGCAAAGCAAAACAAACAAACAAAAATTCTGGTGAAATAGGTTTGGGAAACTAAAGTAGGTGAACTAACATGGAAATAAAGCAGGTTGATTTATTGCAGGACTTATCAGAGCCTTCAACATGCTGATGTACATTATTTAGTTCACTGAAAGAGAAAAATTAGCAAAAACATTTCCGAAATTTATTTCACCATGGACTCTTCTTTTTAATGAGCACAATGAATGCTGGTTTAAATAACAAACCCACAATAAAATTGATTTTCATCTTCCAAATATTC